CAGGTTGCTCAGACCCCATTCAATCTGACCTTAAGTGTTTTACCACCTTCATTGTAAATAATCTTCCTCCTTATATCTAATCTAAATTGTCCCTCTTGTAGGATGAAGCCTTTGCCCTCAGTTTTCCTTTAGGCTCCCTTTAAGTATCTAAAGACCACATACAGGTCTCCCTGAATTCCTCTTCTTCTTCTCCAGGCAGAACAACTCCAACTCTCTCAGCCTGTCTTTGTAGGAGAGGTGCTCCAGCTCTCTGATCATCTTCATGACCGTCCTCTGGACCTAACAGGTTCATGTCTTCTCTGTGATGAGGACTCCAGAACTGCAAGCAGCACTACAGGTGAGCTCTCACAAGGGAGAAAATCACCTCCCTCACCTTGATGGTCACACAGCTTTTGATGCAGACCAGGGTACACTTGGCCTTCCAGGCTGTGAGTGCAAACTGTTGCCTCACATCCAGCTTTTCATCCATGAGAACACCCAAGTTCTTCTCATAGGGCCATTCTCAGTGAGTTCATCTCCCCCTTCATTTATCTGGGATTGCCCAGACACAGGTGCAGCACTTCAACTTGTTGAACTCTGTCAGGTTCCCATAAGCCCACTTCTCAAGCTTGTCCTGGTGCCTCTGGATGGCTTCCCATCCTTCAGGTGTGTCAATCGCACCACACAGCTTGGTGTCATCTGCAAACTTGCTGAGGGTGCACTCAGTCCCACTGCCTAGATCATTGATGAAGACATTAAAGAGCACTGCTCCTGCTACAGATGCCCAAGGAGCACCACTTGTCATTCTATAGGATGGTGAAGGGTCTGGAGAGGAAGCCTTAAAAGGAGCAACAGAGGTCCCTCAATTTGTTCAGCCTAGAGAAGAGGGAACTGAGAGGCGATATCATTGTGCTCTTCAACATCCTCCTGAGGGGAGGTAGAGGATCAGGTATTGATCTTTCACTCTTGTGACCAGTGACAGGACTTGAGGAAATGACAAGAAGGTGAGTCAGGTGAGGTTTAGGTTGGATATCAGGAAAAAGTTTTTCACACAGAGAGTGGTTGAGCAGGCTCCCCGGGAAGTGGTTACACCACCAAGCCTGTCTGAGTTCAAGAAGCACATGGTGTGATTCTTGGGGTGTCCTGCACAGGGTCACGAGTTGGACTAGATGATCCTGATGGGTCCCTTCAAACTCGGGATTTTCTATGATTCTATTGTATTCTAGATGCAACCACAAAACTAATTCATCATCTAATGAACAGCCTACCCATCAAAACCATCTCTCCCCAATTTAAAGAGATGGATATTGTGGGAGAGTGTGTCAATGACTTTACAGAAGTCCAGATAGATGACATTCATAATCCTTACCTTATCCACTGATGTAGTCACTCCATAGCTCTCTACCACTAGGCCACTAGTTGATCTGCCAGGACTTGCCCTTAGTGAAGCCATGCTGACTGTCTAGAGTCACATCCCTGTTCTCCATGTGACTTAGCACAGTTTCTAGGAAGTTCTGTTCCATGACATTTCCAGCACAGAGGTGAGGCTGACAGGTCACTACTTCAAGGCGGGGTGGGGGTGGTCCTTTCCAGCCCTTTTAAAATGCATTCAGTGTTCTGGGGCTCCTCTCAGATAAGTCCCATAGACTTAGGTTCTTCAGGTGGTCACAAAACCAATCTTTCCTTGCAGTGGGAGAGACTTTTTTCCCCCACTACCCCCCAGAAGAGAGATTACAAGTGAAGACTGAAGCAAAAAAGTTGATGAGTTCCTCAGCCTTCCACTCATCCACTCTTACCAGTTTGCCAGTGTTGCTTCCTTTGACCTTCCCTTGGCCAATGCACCTGTAGAAACCCTTCTTGTTACTCTTTGCACCCCTCATCAAGTTCATCTCCAGCTGTACCTTGGCTTTTCTAACCCCATCCCTACTCAACCAGACAGCATCCCTATATTCCTCCCAGGTCACCTCTCCCTGTCTCCATTGGCTATGCATTTCCTTCTTGCCCTTTACTTTGACCAGCAAGTCTCAACTCAGACATGTCTATCTCTTGCCTTCCTTTCCCAGTTTCTCACATCTGGGGATCCTGAGCTCTTGCACTCTATGGAAGGCATCCTTGAAGATCTGCCATTTTCTGAGTCCTTGTCCCTGAGGGCAGTTTCACAAGGGGTCCAACTAACTCCTTGAAGAGTGGGAAGTTAGCTTGTCTAAAGTTCATTGTCCTGACTTTACTTTTCACCCGTCCTATACCCCTCAGCACTGCAAACTCAATATTTTTGTTCTTTTGTCAGCGTTAAATCCTACGGCTGAGTAGAATGCACTGCTTTACCACTGAAGGTATAGGATTAAGAGCTCCATAAAAAGAAAAAAAAGCATAACCTTCAGGAAGAGAAATCTGAGCAAAGACTGAGCAGCTTCATAGATCAAGTTCTCTGTGTAAACTCCTACAGCATTCTTTGCTTACTCAGATGAAAAATCATGTTCCTGGGGGATTGACATTCACCCTCCTCCCCAACACTCCCACGGCATGCTTTCCCTGCACGCATGCTTTCCTCCTTCTGTTCAACTGCCATTCTCCTGCATCTGCTTCAGTAGTTCTGTGAACATGACCTGTGAAGGGCCTCTTTCACCCTCACATTGTTTCAAACATGCTTGAGTATAGCAGTAAGACACATATTAGTCACAATAGTAACAGATGGCAAGAAATGCAAAACCTCTCCTTGTATTTTCTTATTCTACTTCCAGACTGTGGTGCAGAAGGCAGACTGTTAGCAAAGCAAGCTCATTGCTGCAGGCTTATAGCACCACCAAGAATTAACCTCTACTGAAGGCAAGAGACACTGTTAGTAGATGCCTAAAAAGAATTCCAGAGAAGCCTATGGAAGGCTGATGGTAAAAAAAAAAAAAAGTTAATTTATTTACAGACTCTCAGTGGCACACCAGACTATCTACAGAACACAGATACACAGTGATAGCATGGCAGGCTAGACCAGGACAGGCATTTGTTTACTAAAATTAACAGCACTTGCTTTCCTTTCTGGCTTACTCTGGCTGGTTTTGTGAGGCAGAAATAAAACCACAATACTATCCTTCACAAGCCTCAAGGACAAAACAAGATATTAAAGATGATGCTTAAAAAAACCCTGAAATAGATTCACTGCAAAAGGCTTGAGGCAAGATTAGAAGCATTTCCTTGCTAAAAAATCTAATCAGATAGTCCAGGAAAGCCACATAAAAAAAACATTCAGTCCAGGATACCTACCAAAAAAAAAAATTCCTTAATTTTCCAAAAAGAACTTTCCCCAGTGTCCTTTTTGACAATTTCTCTGATGCTTCAACACATGCCTTATTAGCCTCCTATCAGGTGACTGAACATTCACTATAATTTTCCTAGATTTTGGTCTTAAACAGAAAGCATCTTGATCTTACAATTTGAATATATATTATTCATTACATAACATAAACACCTGCCTTCTTTGTTTATTTATGACTTGAGATCATTCTTTGTCCAACAGCAATAAACACACATATGTGAACTGGAACATGGTGAAGCAAAAAGGAAAAGGTAATCAGCACAACATGCTAACACAGAAGACTCAGAAAAGGTTACAGAACTTACCAGAGTTCCTTCTGCTGTTCTTGCTGCTTTGTCAGGATTGGCCCTCATTTTGACCATCCTAGGTCAAGTGTTTGGCTTGCTGAGTAGGTTCTAGGGTAAACATTACCTTTTGTCTCTCTAGCTTGCAAAGACACCTTCTAAATCAGATTACTTGCTTCCACCACAGCTCATGACACAGGTCAGGCATCAAGATTGAGCTGGTGGTCAGACATCTTACTTAGGTCTCCATGGTAAACAAACATGCACGTAAAAAATCCAGAGAATTTCTTCTGCAGAACTGCATAGTGGTACATGTTTACTTGTTTTATTCTTTCTGAACTGTTCCAGACACTCACAACACTTAGTTTATTATCCCCTATACATTTGTTACTGCAACTCCACTGTAGAATGTCAGAGAACATTGTTCCCTCTTCTCAGATTTAGGAACCTCTGTAATTGTCTTTCTGCTTTTAACAGGAATTTGCCCATACCATATACACTCACTTCTCAAGATACTCATAGCCCTTACACCTTCTCACCCACATGAGCAGACCATTTTCCCCAAGGTAGCTGTAGAAATTACTAGCTGAAAATCTCTTCAATCAGTAAGGATTTTGGTCAGCCCAGGGACAAGCCTGAGTTTGAGTTAAGGCATTGTAGCATTATTACTGCAAGATTATTACAGACACAGAACTGAGGGACTGTCTACATACATTTACCATATTGATGAAGGAGACTTTCTGCCTCAGAAAGTGACTTATCACGCTGCCAACAGGTTAGTGACACTACTTTTGTTGATGACTGCCACCCCCCAGATATTTTTAGCCAATCTCTACTTCTGAAGAAAAGGAGATGTTATGCAAAACCAATCTCAGTGCTTCCAAATCAGAACACAAAAACAAGTTCACAAGTTCACAAGTTCAAAAAATACTGATATCTATTAAACTCATTCAAATCTACAAATACACCATAAATATTACTGTCTACTGTTCTGTTTTCCCAATCTAAGTTTAAGTAACTTTTTAGAAATCTGCATTACATATCTTTCAAGACACTTGATACCTTAGGTTCAGCAAAAGAAGATTGCTCAGGATAAGCAAGCCCAGAAAAGTAAAACAGAATCCAAGCACAGAAGAAAACAATTATTTTTAGACATTGAAGTACTTTACAAGGGAAGAGCCAGGAATTTTGTCACATTTTTTAAAATCAATATTATCCTTGTAAACTCATATCCAGTTCAAAATCTAAGAAAACAACTATTCTGCATTTTATATTCTTCACTCATTTCAACTTGAGTTATTTTCAAGGTGCATCAGATAAAAAGTACCATGATGAATAGAAAGATGTTTTTCTCTAGACAACAGCATCATGCTGGCTTTCAAAATTCAGTTAAACAACTAATTATAAAGAATATACAAGGAGCTTACCTTTTACACCACCAAATGGGCCATAAGTCATATTACAAGCAGTTCTCTGAAGATTGTGCTCGTACATCAGTTTAATCTGATACTGGTTCCCATGCTCCACATTCCCCTGAGTTCCTACAAAAAAACAAAGGATAAATATTTATTAATTTGATACACACACTGTGGAAGAACTAAAGGAGTATCAGTGTCAACAATCTGAAGAAAATGTAACTTAATTTCTAGTGACTTTTGAGATACGTAGGCTCACACTGCTGCTTCCTGAAAAAAAAATCACCAAGATATAAAATTCCAAAAGTCAGAACCAGAAATAAAGTCTCATTATACTATACATGGTATAAAGACCTCACAAAAGGCTGAGATTTTATTACTTAAATGTATTTTTCATGTTGGGCACACCTCTAAGATCAGGAAAAAAGCTTTGATTCCCCCTGCTCAAAGGGGCATTCTTATGATTCTCTAGCTATTTGGTAAATATACTATATCCAACAACCAGCTTCAGTAGCAATAGTCTTTGTCTCAAATTAAGCTGTAGCTGGTCTTTAGCTCCAATTTGACAAAGCTGTGTTTAGGGCACACTCATCACTTGCCTTTACTTTGCCTGAAAATTGAATGCAGTGATCAGCAATGTGAAGATAAAAGACAAACATATGGTAACAAAAATAATTTTGTTATATGCAGATAGTCCAGGAAAGCCACATAAAAAGATATATGTCACAGAATATATGTCACATTCTCTGAAAAGGTCTGCATGAAATTTAACTTCCTGACTCCTTCAAGGAACTAACAGAAAATAAAAGACTTTCTAAAGAAACTGAAGTTCCTCTTTTGAGAATCAAGTTTTTCCTGAACCCCATGAAGAAAGTAAAGTTCATTACATAAAATAATACTTAAGGACTAATATTAGCAAAGGGAAAAAAGTAAACAAAATCCTTTGAGAACAGTCACATCAGTTGGGAAAAAGGTGTTTTGCACTAAATCCTGCCACAGCTTTAATTATACATATATTATTCCAACAACAACTTAAACAACATTCTATGAAAGATTTGTAGCTTAGGCTAACCTGTTAGGCAATTTCTCCAAACAAATCAAACACAGTTTTGACCTCTAAAGCAGGCCCACATTAGGGAAAAGACTGGAATAGACATGAGGGGAAAAGCCCTGCTGGGTAGTAACTAGATAATCATCAACACTTCAGGATAAACAAGTTGAAAAGTAGTCAGCCTGTGTATATTGATTGCAATACAATATCAAGGCCACACTTTAGTCAGCCCTGAAGGATACTTTAATTTGTCCAAAGAAGCAGCATAGTGATTTTTATTATGAATAACAGATATGGTAGCATGTATAAAGCAAGTAAAGATTCCATTTTATGAAAATGTCATTTGCCTTAAAAGCATAAAGAAGTAATGATAGTTATTTCTCAAAGGAGCTTGTTTGAGAGTACCCATTCAGATGACAGAAATTACCACTAAAGCAGGAATGCTTACAGATTAGTATGAAAAGTCTGTTAAAAGATAGCAGAAATTTACCTTTATTATTACTTAACTGCTTAAGCCATGTAGACCAAACAGCAAATTATAACTGCTAAAGACTTCTAGACTTAGTATTGTATGCTCCTAAGGCAAATTTTAAAATAAATTGTTTTAATAAAAATTGTAATGGTAGGCTATAATCCTAAGGCATAAACACTATTGCAGCAAGAGAAAGCACTAAACTGCAGCACATCTCCAAGAATCCCTCCTCAGCAAAGACCAATTTCACAGGTGTCTCCAGACAGGCAAAGAAAGTACATTTTTGTAACCTGACTACAAGGCTGTAAATAGGAAACAAGCTGCTCCTACAAGAAAACCATGCTCTTGTAATGAAAGGAATCACAGAGTGTGTCCCTGCATGGAGAAAATGAACAACGCCATGCTGTCTATTGAATTTTGAAGATGGGTGTACCATTAATAGAAATCTGTGCTTTGCTCTGAGCATACAGAAGAAAAAAAATCAAAGTACAGAACATGTATTTCATTACTAGGCTCTTCACATACAGAGAGAACACATCATATAGAATTTCCAGCCAAAGGCAGTCGAAGAAAGAGGATTTAAGACAAAACACAGTGGTTTCACCTTCTTACCAGTATTAACCTTCTGTCTTCTTATGGGCTACCTTACCAATATTCTGGCTTTCTAAAAAATTATCTGGACTTCTGAGTTCAGAAAGAATCATAATTGTTTCTTTTTAAAGAGCTAAGTAGGTTGGCATTATCAAACCATCTGTTCATTAGCATGTTGAACAGTAACACCAATTCATAAAAACATAATAAGAACTAGTTGCTCACAATCACTACTAACCACAGACCATCACACACATCTCAGCATCTCAGGCATGGAGTAGATCAGCAAACCTCTGCTAAACCTAATTACTAATATCTCCTCTTCATAGGTGGTCTTGAGTGAAAGAACATGACTGCAGATCTTCAGTGATGATGAGCAAACATTGTATATACCAAGTTTAAGATTAACCTAATCTAAACTTTAGAATACACTTAAAAACAGTGGAAAGCTTGGATCTGTAACCTAACCTGAAACAGCGTACACGCAGAGTTTTCGGCAATGCAACACAGCCAGATGAAGTCCTTCAGTACCACTGAAAAGGGTATAAAAACACTATTTTTAGATAAATTCAAATAGAATTCATACAGGATAAAATTCAAGAAACATGCTAAAATTACTCTCATGTGTAGGCCAAATGCAAAGGTTTGGGTGTTAGATGCTAGTATAAAAACTCAGACGTACTGATCTTCCAAAATTCATGCTGAAGTGCTTGAAGTTAATTTCAAAATCAAAATGAATCCTTTAAGAACATACTTTGAGATGCAAATATGAAGAGCAACCCAACTATGTTCCCAGTTTAGTTTGCAGTTTAGTTTGAAACTCATTTGAAAGAAGGTGCTGTTAATCCTTCATGGAGAGACAATATGCAGATCAACCCTCCAAACAAGAATTATTCAGCAACATCAGACACTACTTTTTTTTAAATCCACTTTTGTAGTAGCTGCATGGAACCTCCAAACCTTCACATTCCTCTTCCTCCAAACACAAATAGTATTTCTAGCAAAATACTTGAAATGTTTTAGCTTATTTCACAGAGTAAAACATTATCATTCCTGCAAAGAGTCACTCCATGAGTACTTGACTCTTTGATCTCGGAGCACAAATCTTCTCCATGGTTAGTTCAGGTTTTACTTTCATTTTTAAATAAAGTTCATGCTACAGTATTAGAAGTTCATTTCAAAATTAAAATGAATCCTTCAAGAACCAATTTCTAGAATAAAGTTCTCTTAAGCAGATTCTCTTACAGCCAATTAACTATAAAGTGTTTTCCTTAGAGTCACAGTATCTCTCCTATATCTGGTCACTTGTTTCCACTAAATTCATTGGAATTAAGGATCTTCTATCCTCTATCAAACAGGAAACAATTGGCCAGTATTACATCCTAGACCATAACAAGTTAGTCAAGTATTCTTAACACCTTAAAAGATAAGTTTAAATGTTAAGTTTTTCCTGTTCTACATACTTCTAAAAAATTGCATAACTATCTGGGAGATTATCCTCTATATACCTATATACCTTAAGTAAAAATCTCTCATATGAAGATGATTCAAGAAGCAGATCAAATGCATACTATAGGATTCATAGATGTGATTAGTAGTTTCCATCTAGAAACTGAAAACTCACCCTCCAAAACAAAGGAAGAAAATCACATCTAATATTTAAATAAACAGCACCATAGCCTGCCATTTACTTACGAAACAAACTTTCCCACTTCCACCTGCAATATTGGTTCTCGCAGCTGCACTTCCAAGAGCAAGTCTTCAGGCTGTACTTCATCTCCAGGTTTCACAGGATGTGGATTAAAGATTCTGAGATATCCATTATAACTGCCCACAATAACTTTATCTAAAAAACAAACAAACAAAAACAACACATAGGATACTACACAATACAATAGCATGCACATGTGGAATTCAATTTGCTGCAGAGTGCTTCATATAATACCATAAATAAAAAGACAGAATACTAACATGATTCAATTATTGTTCATTATGCTCTGTCTTCCAGTTTAACTTTAGCAATTACATTTGCAATTTCCACATTCAATACATGAATATCTGTCAGCACCAGTGATGGCAGCAATAAAGTGTTTATGGGTAAGAATCAGGGAAAAGCCAATGAAGCAGATGTCATGGTTGGAGTCTGTTACAGACCACCCAACAAGGACAAAGAGGCAACAAAATATTCTACAAACAGCTTGAAGAAGTCTCACAATCACTAGCCCTTGCTCTCGTGGAGGACTTCAAGTTACCAGATGTCTGCTGAGAATATAACACAGCAGAGAGGAACTGTCTAGGAGATTTCTGGAGTGTATGAAAGATAATTGCCTTACACAACTGGTGAAGGAGCCAGCTAGGGAAGGTGCCCCACTGGATTTGCTGTTTGTGAACAGAGAAGGATTTACAGGTGATGTGATGGTTGGAGGCTGTAGTGAGCACAGTGATCACAAATTAGTTTCAGTTCTTAGAGAAGGAAGGAGGGGGAACAGCAGACCTGCTCTCATAGACTTCCTGAGGGCAGATTTTCACCCATTTAGGAGATTGGTGGACAGAGTCCCTTGGAAGGCAGTCCTGAAGGGCAAAGGGGCCCTGGAAGGCTAAACATTTTTAACAAAGGAAGTCTTAAAATGTACAGGACCAGGCCATCCCCATGTGCCAAAAGACAAGTTTGCAGGGAAGAACACCATCCTGGCTGCACAAGCTTTGGCTGGAACTCAGGAAAAAGAGAAAATATGACCTTTGGAAGAAGGGGGAGCTGAATCAGGGGGGCTGCATCAGCTGAATCATAAGGTTATGCAGGAAGAAAATTACAAGGGCCAAAATCCAACTAGAACTTAATCTAGCTACTGCCATAAAAGACTAAAAATGTTTCTATCAATATATCAGCAACCAAAGGACGGCCAAGGAGAATCTCTATTTTTTATTGGATATAGGGGGAAATATAGTGACAAAGGATGAGGAAAAGGCTGAGGCACTTAGTACTGCCTTTGCCTAAGTCTTCAATAGAGCAACAGTAGTTCTCTGGGTACCCAGCCCCTGAGCTGGAAGACAGGGACAGGGAGCAGAATGAGGCCCCCATAGTGCAAGGAGACGTGATCAGCTACATCACTTAGACACAAACACAAGTCTATGGGGCCAGGTGGGATCCACCCAGGAACACTGAGTGTGGAAGTGTTCACCAAGCCACTCTCCATCATTTATCATCAGTTATACTAAGGGGCTCCCAGATGACTGGAAGCTAGCAAATGTCATGCCCATCTACACAAAGGGTCAGAAGGGGGATCCAGGGAACTACAGGCCAGTCAGCCTGACCTCAGTACCAAGGAAAGCCATGGAGCATATCATCTTTAGTGCCATCACACAGCTTGATGGGACAACCAGGAGATCAAACCCAGCCAGCAGGGGTTTATAATGTGCAGGTTCTGTTTGACCAACCTGATCTCCTTCTAGGACAAGGTGACTATCTTAATGGAAAAGGGACAGATTGTGGATGTTGTTTACCTCAACTTAAGTAAACCTTCGACAGCATTTCCCGCAGCATTCTCCTGGAGAAACTGGATAGTCACAGCTTAAACAGGTATATTGCTTACTGGGTAGAAAAATGGCTGGGTGGCTGAGCCCAGAGAGTGGTGGTGAACTGAGTTACATGCAGCTGGTGACCGGTCATGAGTGACATTCCCCAGGGCTCAGTACTGGGGCCAGTCCTGTTTATTACCTTTATCAACAACCTGGAGGAGGGGATCAAGTGCACCCTCAGGAGGCTGCTGATGACACCAGGCTGGGTGGGAGGGTTATCTGCTGGAGGGTAGGATGGCTCTATGGCAGAATCTGGACAGGCTGGAACAATGGGCTGAGGCCAATTGTATGAGGTACAACAAGGCCAAGTGTCAGTCATTCCCCTCAGTTGCAACAACCTCACACAACACAGCAGGCGTGGGGAAGAGTGGCTGGAGTGGCTACCCAACAGAAAAGTACCCAGGGTGATGGTTGACAGCAGCTGGAGCATGAACCAGCATGTGCCCAGGTGGCCAAGAAGGCCAATGGTATCCTGGCTTCTACCAGAAAGTGTGTGGCTAGAGAAGTATTGCCCCCCTGTATTCAGCACTGGTGAGGTTGCACCTCAAATACTGTATTCAGTTTGGGGTCCCTCACTACAGGAAAGCCATGGAAGTGGTGGAGCATGGCCAGAGAAGGGCAACAAAGCCAGTGAAGGGCTTAGAGGTGAACCAGGGGCTGTAAAACTTAGATGGAATATTAAGAAAAATTTTACCAAAAGGGTTGTGAAGCATTGGAAGAGACTGCCAAGGGAAGTGGTTGAATCAGCACCCCTGGTGGTATTTAAAAGATGTGTAGACATGGTGCTCAAGGACATGGTTTAGTAACAAAAACAGGGTTGTTAGACTCAATGATCTTAAAGGTGTTTTCTGACCTAAATGACTCTTATGAATTTCTACTGAAAAAGGTTGTACACCAAATCAATAACAACTCAACTTTATTCAAATTATCCTGAAAAGGGAGAACCTTACATTAAAATAGTTTTAGAAGAGTATGGCAGCAAGGAAGTCAAACTCAAGTACCTCTACCAGGCAAAAATAAAGTTCCAAGGTGAGCATGATATCATAGAGACACCAAGAATTTATTCATTTTAAAAAATACACACACAAAAACTCTCCCTGACAGAAAGATTATTTCACATTATTAATGACTACACAGAAACACAGGGTTTACTCAAGCAGAGTCACTTACTTCAATTTTTTCACTTATTTTCCAGATCAAAAGGGTTGTTTATTTGTTTTTCTAAATTCTTAACTTTTTAGCTCTCACCTTCCTTTTTTCTCCCCTAGGTTTTTAGAAGTCACAATGTGTTTGCTCCCATGACTAAATGAAAATTCTTTATTTTAAAAAAATCTACCATTGGGAGAATAAGACATGAGAGAAGTTACTAGTGAACACAAGCAAGAATTAACATATTTAGCAGCATACAAATATAAAAAGATAGAGAGCACTGAATTTGTCTTCTTACAAGGACACATTAAAGATAGCAGACCTAAAACTAACTAGCCAACTAGCCTGGCTAACAAGCTTTCAGCATGCATTGGTCAAAGCAAACCTACAGCTGTGTGGCTTAAAAGCCAGCAATTTTAAGTCTGAATTTACCTTGTCCACTGCCACTATTATCAACATCAGCAACACACAGACAGCCTTGGTCAAATTCTTCCTTTTCTCCAAGTATGGTGGACCACCAGTCTCTAGCTTTAAACAAGGACATTCTTCTTTACTGAAAAGAAAAAAAAACATTGTTAAAGTTTATACTAATACATGCAATTGTTTATACAAAAAACTTTTTCTTTGTAAGCAACAGGTTTCCTTAAGTATATTACACCTCTCAATTTCACATTGCACTAATGTGAGCTAAATAAATGTTAATTTCAGGTGTCTGGAGTTTCTGGTTATACAGTTCTGAAAACAACCTCAGGAATATTACAGTCAGATGAATTAGATGTGATAGACACTGCTAGTTATATAAAGAAAATGCAACACAATAACAGACTTTTAAAAATGGTTAAATGCTAAATGTCTTCTGTTACAAGCACTAAGTAATAAAAAGTTTTTAAAGTCACAGAACTTAGTTCTCTTCTTTCACCAAGGAGTACCAACAAAAAAAAAAAAAAGAAAAAAGATTCTGATGCAAGTCTTCTGCAAGAGAAATTATTTTTAGACAAGTAAATGGAGACATAAACTGACGACATCAAAACTTCCACCACATAATCGCCTTGAAGATGCTCCAGTGACACGACTAAAGAACTCGGTCATACAGGACACAAATCAGCTTTTCTGTTCCCTACCTGATGTTATTTTAAGAAGGGGGGAGGGAAGGAGCGAGGAGACTAATCCCTTTGCGGGCAGCTTGACGATAACATTATCCCAGCTCAAAACTCACGGCTCCGTGCCTATGGACCCGGACACAGTCGATCCCACAGCCCGCACAGGAGGCGAGGGGCTGCCACTCACCGGCAGCTCCAGCGGGACGAAGGGAAAAAGACAGGAACAAACGCAGACTGCATGCCCGCGCCTTTCCTCTTACAAGGAAACCAAGTCCGACAAACAAAACCCCGTATTTTCCACCTTTTTCACTGTCGCTATGCCCGCTAGGCAACCTGCTGCCGCCGAGTGCGGGCTGGCACAGCACAGCCCTCCACACACACCCCCTCACTCCCTGCTGCCCTCCCTCACAGAGTCCCTGAGCAGCACACACAGCACCCACACCGAGCCTGGGACACGGACACGGACACACGCAGATACAGACACACATCCCCGTGCAGCCGGAGAAAAGAGACGGAGCCCGACAGGGGCTTACTTGGGCGGGAGGCGACAGCTCCCTGGCAGGGCGCAGTCCGAGCCGGCCCGGGGCGGCAGCCCCGCTTCCTCACAGGAGCTCCTCGCTCAGTCGCGGCCCGAAGCAAGGTACAGAGCAGCAGAGCTACAGGCGCATTCCCACCGCCGCCGCCATCTCCAGCATCCTCCGCTCCCCACCGCCGGCACCAACCGCTCAACGGCCCACGCCCCGCCCAGGGGAGAGCTTGGGAAATGTAGTTTGGGAAGCGGCGCCATGGGCCGTTGGGCTCTCCCACTTAGTCCTGTACATGGGGGGAAGAGCAAAGAAGAGAAATATTTATTTTGTATTTTCTGAGAGGAGAAAAATTTAAAAAAACAACTCTAAGCATTCAGCAGCTTGTTATTTTTTTTTCTTCAAGCCCTTTACAGAAACCTCTTGCTCTCGAGGCGCCCAGCTCCACCCGTGCATCCAGCCTTTCCCTCCCCCTGTCCCTTGTGGCGTGGTACAGCCGGCGAGGGGCCAGGACGGCCGGGCGCGTGCGGTGCCGTCGTTGCCGACCCGGCGGTCGGTCAGGGGGGACCCGTCGGGATCCCGCTCCTTCGCCCACACCGAGGGGCGCAGCCGCGCTTCCCCGCAGCGGCTCCCGGCGCCCCGGGAACTACTATCATGGACAGGACCGCCGTGGCCAAGATGGGAGCGGTGGCGAGCGCCAGCGTGTGCGCGCTGGTGGGCGGGGTGGTGCTGGCGCAGTACATCTTCACCATGAAGAAGAAGACGGGTAAGAAGACCAAGATCATCGAGATGGTACGTGGTAAGAGGCCGAGAGCCCCTCGGCCCCCGCACGCACGCCCTTCTCCTGTCCTTCCTCTCCTGCGGCCGGCGGCTCCCTACGGCCGCTCCCGCGGAGCCAGGCGGGTATCCCGAGGGGATAACTGGAGGGGCAGAGGGGGGACCTTGAGCTCAGTTTGGGATTTCTGTAAGGACGGGCGCTGGAGGCTGTCCTTCCAGCTCAGCTGTTCCTTCCAGCTCAGCGTGACTTACTAGCACGGAAAAGGTGCGTGTGGAAAGGGTCTGTGCCGTCCTGCCCTGCCCTGTCCGGCCCGTATATACTTGTAGGATACATACGTACCCGTGGGTCTTGGTGGTAATTTACAAGCCTGCTCGCAATTAGTTTAAAAGAAAACTGGACACGCACACAACACGTGTTCAACCATCTGTTGAAACTGGGAAGCACAGTCTGTTCACGGCTACTATAAAAGGAAGATGGAGCTCGCTCTCTCTAGCTGCCCTTGTTAGACTTGTTGTTTAGGAAATTATTTAAATATCTGCTTGTTAATAATTGGGTCGTAGAAGATCTTAGTTTGGACAACGGGATGATTATGTGGAAGTCCTTCAAATTTTGTGATTTGGACACCGCCGTACCGAAGAACTGAACTGAAATCGTCAAGGCACTTGATGTTAGCTATTGGGTGTTTTGTGATCTCCCCTGCAGAATTTTACTGAAAGCTCTGATGAATTTTTATAATTACACGTGGAAACAGATTTTAGAAAGAGCTAGGATTCTGTATGTAAATTGTGAGCTACCTAAGTGCTCGCTTGGCCGCACATTGCCATGCTTGCCAGTGGAATTCATGCAGGGCAGTTTGTGATAACGTGGGTCCAAAGAAGAATTCTACTTGGAGTTTTTGATAATTGTAGATGCATCACTTACTGTTGAAAAAAATACTGTTTCTAGTCAACAGTCATGTCATCTGACAATTTGGAGGGGAATGACTTGGTTTTTAGTTTCTCCAAGCACAGTTCCAACGGCTTGTGGGAGAGCAGAAAGTTTGGATTGCCACTTTATCTAGCAAACATCCTTAGTTCTAAAGATGCAGGTCTTCTTTCTTAAGTACTATTTTTAGTGGACACATGTATTCAGGCTGTGCAATTTCTTTGAAATAAGTGAAATAGTTATGTAAACTTCATACCAAGGAGTTGAGTTTGTCAAGTATAGGCAAAAATGTGTACATGCATTTTATTTGAATATGCTGCATTCTGAAGAACTTTCTTTTATCCACCAATGCAGATTTGATTCAATGTTTGTCTTTTACAAGACACTGTATCAGTTTTATTTTATGACAAGGGGGACCTTTCTTGAGCTGTGGAGGAGAAAATGCTGTTTCCAGTCTGTAACTTAGTGTAATTTACGATGGTGGTAAGAAACAATACTGCCTTATTGAAATGTATTTTCTTCCAATAGCAGGCTGGTCTTCTGTGTCAGATTAAAATTATGGGCTCATTCTTGTATTTTCAGCAGATTTTTTGGTTCAAATTTTCTTTGGGAGGCATTTACACTGTAGTTTTATATCCACATTAGACTCAGAATTACCTTGATGTATAACTTTTATTAAAAGCAGTAGGGAGCAGGCCTATTACATCTTAGTTATGTGAATGGAATATTATTTCCTTATAATTAACTACAGCAATTTTTTTTTCTTAGTCAAAATAAAGTTAGATGAGTATAAAACCCAAGTATAAGTAAAAAACAAATACAGCTTTAAGTGCTAAAAAGACAGGAACTTTTACAAATCAAAGAGAACATCTATAACAGAAGTTAATATCAAGGATTATGATGCCAAGAAGAAATGTTGTGAAGAAAAGTGGAAAGGATTCTCAAGCATTGTGGGAAAGAGTAACCCTCTTTCCTTGCTGAATAATGAAATCAAGTAATTCTTAAATATCTAGCTCACATTTCAGTAGATTAATTCCTTAAGCACACCAATTAGCCTGAGAGACAAATTTAAGCTTAATGGAGACATTTTAAAATTGCTTCATCTTATTTGATAAAAAAGGCTTAAACTTATAATTAAAATGTGTCTTCACCCACAGTGTGTAGTTTGCAAACAGGGAGTTTCCCTTAGGCACTCATGAATATAGACAGAGTTACTTCAGCTCCACTTCTGAAGTAACAGAGGCATTAATAGTAATGGTCACATGAAGTTTCACTCTGTGTGGTAAGAAACAACCATCTCTCCAAGCCTTGTTGCATAGCCACGTTGCCAATTTTGTGAAACTGTACAAGTGTTTACACAGTCAGGTGAAAGCAAAAGTTAGCTACAAGGTTGCTTACTGTAATTTAAAGAGATTGTTAACAATTAATTAGATTTTCAGAGTAACTTTCTAGAAAATGTTTCCAGGCTATTTTAGAAAGAGATGAAACCTTACAGCAGTATTCAGTCTTTTGGATTTTTCAAGCCACAGACAAGTCTGCAATTAAGTTGTGTATTCCTATAAAGCAAATAGTTGTATTGCCAATAGACTTCAATTTTTGATTGAATACTTTTTGCTGAGCTTTTGATCAGCTCGGCAGAAAACCAGTGTTCACAAACTAGAGTGAAAAACATTGCCTAAATATTTCAGAAATGTTCACATGTAAGCAGTAGCCCATATTAATTAAGATATGCACTTAACATAAGAAAAAACTTCTTCAAGGAGTAACAGTATGTTTTGTTGTCTGTTTCATAAATAAATTTGTTAAAATCTTGGGAGTCTTTTCAGCAGCTTGTTCCTCACTCTTTGGTTTTGGAGCTTTTAATTTTTTTTTTTTTCTGTTAGAATAAGAAACGCAATAGAGCTTGTTGAAAACAGAATAGGAGAGTACCTTAAACTGAGACTTCCTCTCTCAGGTTTGTTTCCCAGAAAACTGGACAAATGTGTAGTTACATTTGTCCATTTCTCCAATCTGCCCCTGAAGTGAGAGGTGTAATTACATGAAAAAGAGACTTTGGATCAAAGTTCAGCAACAACAAATTAAACTCAGCTTTAAAGCAGAGTCTCAGTTTCCTGTAAACATTTCACCCACTCAACTGTCTCTGGACAGTGCACTTTTTATTGTGTTAAAGGGAAGAAATACGTGGATATTTGCAGTAGTAATGTTTACCTGGAGGGAAATAAGGAAATTAATAAGAAGCAAGGTAACTGCTATCTATCTACTTGCTTAAGAAATAAAGGAACATATTCTGTGAGTATAACTGTTAGAGGCATTGGGAGGTGTATTTTTTAATTATTATTGTTTTCTTTTACCTGGCAGTCTCTGGTGAGACTGTTCTTGTTTCATAGGGCATAAGAGCATTTGTGCCAGAGATGAAGATACAACTGGCAGCAATCACACACCACTTCTTTATTCTGGTCTTGTTGCTGGTAACTAGTTGTTATAGTAACTGTGACGTTACTCTGGCAGGTTGACCTCCCAGCAGAGTAAAAAGCAGAGGAGTGTGTAATGTGTAGCGTACGTATTCAGGAGTCTAAGTGGTTGGTATTTGCAACTCCTTCATGTGCTTATGCCTCTACTGAAGAGCTGAAGAAGGGTTTGAGTCTGAGTAAACTGGAATCACTAAAAGGGGAATGGAAGGAAGATGGACTCCCTCTAATGAAGCCTTTGCAGGACACTGTCACTATCTGGATGTGCTCAAGAGCCATGCAGTGATATGATCCATTTGGGAATAATATTGTTCAAAAAGAATGGTGCTGTGATATATATGAAGTAGTGAAAGAACTCCTGAGACCTAATACCATTCTACCTATCGACATGTGACTGAGAGCCCTTACATTACTAGAGTATTAGAATAATTTTTAGATTATTGTTAACATTTTAAAACCAAGTTAAAGTTGACATGAGTACTGGAGATGCTATATAACCATTCCTATAAACCTTGGGTTTTGTTTAGACTGTATTCCTCAATAGAAAAATCAACTGGCAGTGGTAGACACCAATTACTAAAACAAGGTTGTTTTGCCCACACGCTGTTTGCAGAGATAATCATAATATATATTATCTAGATAATACATGATACCAGGCTGCCTAATGTCAGCCTCTGTGCATCATATTAGTCACCTAACATGTGGCTTGTAAAGCAAGTTTTCACAGGGCAGGAAAAACTCTAAGGACATTGCATGTTGATACAACTTGGGTACTAGTAACAGGTTTCATTCTCACTGTAATATAATTCAGTTGGAAATTTAGGAAATTTGTATCCCAGGAGAATGAAAATTGACTGAATTCAATTGTTTTCTCCTCTCATTGTCAAAATTATGTACATATTAATATTTTACTTCATTTAGTATAGTAAACTGATCCTACAATGCAGCCATCTGTTTCAGAAGTAGGTTTTAATTTTCTGAAATTGCTCCTGCCTATGTTGGGTTTTTTTTTAATTCAGTAGGTCTTGAAACCTACATTCTTACAAGGGATGGGTATGGGAAGATTAATTAAATCTATAATTCTGCATTAGTTTCTTTAGAAATCATTTATGCAAATTATAACAGTTATCAAAAACATAGTGATGATCTGTACATGAAAACTGAGTTCCAAGTAGTCAGTGTAGACATGTCAGGATACAATATAGATTGTAGGTTTAGACTCAGAAGAGCTTTTTTTGCTGCTTTCTTTTATCTTTTGTATAAAGTCTTTCTCCAAGACAGAAAAGCAATCTTTCAATTACTCATTCTCCTCTGAAATACATTTACCTTTTAATAAATGCTTGCTATGTGTTAAGTCATATTTTTTCTCCCGTTTGTGATAACTCGTTTTTACCAGTTGACCTATGGCATCTGTTCTATTAAACTCTTTTACAGCTTAAATACTGTAAGTCTTAAACATGTTTACCTTTAACTGTCAAACAATATAAGCAGTAATAAGGGATTTTTTAGTTTTTAGCCTGAATATGCATATCATCGCAAATCTGTTCATATTATGAATTAAAGTTACGTAGCATTCCAGTCATACTTTCAGTCTTG